AACCTGACTCACCTGACTCAGAGGAGACTGAGAATATGCTGGAAAATGTAGGCACAGAGGAAGAGTTGGACTTTGAAGATTTTGAAGATTCTGGTTTGGATCCAACCGATGGGCTACTGGACCCATCCTCTGGTCCATCACCTGCCACCACCAGCTCAGCCGTCATTCCAACTCCCACCTCTCTCCAGACCACTGCACGACCTTCAGGGCCTGCATCTGATATCACTACAGTTGCACTTGAGCAACAACTGGTAATTATGCCGTGTCACATTTTAATATTTTTTATTATACTGTGTCAGTGGACTTCCCAGTTGCTCTGGATAATTTAGACTTATATTGTACTATAATAATTATTATTATTGTGTAATAATATTAATCATCATCATTACTGTATAATAATAGTTAGAAAATGTATTTGTATATCACTTTTCAAAAACACATTTTCAAATCACAAAAAAAATACACAATGCAATCATGAAATAGACAGATATGAAAGACAATGACAAACATCTGAAGAATACATAAATGAATAAAAGCATAATTTAAAAGATAAGCTCTAATTAAAATCCATTTTATAAAACTGTTTTTAAAAGAGTATTATATTTTCCAGATTGGGCATGCTTGTCCCTGCTCTGCTGCTGCTAGTCCCTCTTCACTGCCATCACCCGTCACCCCTGCAGCAGCACCACAACAACTGGCAAGTCTTTTGTGACATGTTGGATCAGTGGTGTTATTGTCTTGCTTGTAATTGTTTTATTTTGATGTTTATTTCATTAGTATTCTTTTTTATTATTACATTTAACAGGTTGCAAATGAGCAGACCACTGCACCCTCTGGCCCAACAGCTGTCCCCACCAGCCTAGCCTCTGCTCCTCATTACATTTCCATCGTCTCAGCCTCTCTTGCCACTACTCCAACTACAGGTCCCTCTGGGCCACCTGCCATGACTCCTGCAGCACCACAGCAACAGCTGGTAGGTCTTTTGTGACATGTAAACAGTGTGAAAGATGTGCTATTTTTCTGCCTGTGATATTGTTTTTATTTTATTTTTATATATTCATATATTTGCCAGGCTGTGGATGAGCGCAATATCCCAGGGATGGACAGAGTGGACAGCCTGGCACAGTACTTGGTGGGACTGAGGAATGAAACTGGACAAACACTTAACTCCCAGCAGGCCAGTACCGTCATAGCTCTGTGGCAGAACCTTCTACCATATGACCAGCAGCGTGTGACGTACTCTGCACGGCACCAGTCACGTCTGACAACAGGACGCTTCAGGTGCTCTAAAAAGAAACCTGAATTCACGGAGCATGACACGTTGTGTCCTAGGATCGACAGGATCCCCTGCCCAGTGTCCAGATTGCTGTCGTCTGGTAGAGTGCATTTTTGCAAAACTCTGTGACATCCATAAAAGTCCAAAAAAACATGGTAAATATGCACTGACTAGATGGACTCTAATTCTCAGAGACTACAGCCCTCTGCTCCTCATTACATTTCCATCGTCTCAGCCTCTCTTGCCACTACTCCAACTACAGGTCCCTCTGGGCCACCTGCCATGACTCCTGCAGCACCACAGCAACAGCTGGTAGGTCTTTTGTGACATGTAAACAGTGTGAAAGATGTGCTATTTTTCTGCCTGTGATATTGTTTTTATTTTATTTTTATATATTCATATATTTGCCAGGCTGTGGATGAGCGCAATATCCCAGGGATGGACAGAGTGGACAGCCTGGCACAGTACTTGGTGGGACTGAGGAATAAAACTGGACAAACACTTAACTCCCAGCAGGCCAGTACCGTCATAGTTCTGTGGCAGAACCTTCTACCATATGACCAGCAGCGTGTGACGTACTCTGCACGGCACCAGTCACGTCTGACAACAGGACGCTTCAGGTGCTCTACATACAAACAATACATATGAATACTTTTTATACATTTTTGTCAAAACAAAACATACATGTGTAGGTGTCCGCTAATGCAACTAATTGATAGAACTGTTTCTTGCATTGCTATGTAAATTAAGTTATTTATTATCTATATCATTGTTACATAAGTATGTTCACTTATGTACACTAAGTACATATATTTGACTGTATGACATTCGTAATAAGCCATTGTCCTATTTGTATCAATTAATTAGTGATTAATTAAATGATTCGTAATATTTCAGTTAGAGTTTTTGGTTAGAGATGCCTGCTCCAGTCGGGGATCGAACCGGCAACCTTTGGATCCACAGCGCCCCATGCAATATTACAGCAAAGTGTTATCTATGGACATATTTCTCAAACTAATAATGTAATATATGTGTCCTATAGCTTCTGACGGGCAGCAGAATCAATATTAACTCTCATTTCCTTTCAATTTCTACTCATTTTTCCAAACCTGGGCCGCAGCGGTGAGCGCACCAAAGCCTAACCACTAGACCACCAGGGAATGGCTAGAGGGCTGCACTCTTGATAACAGCGTGAGAATAAGCAGACAGCAATTCTGGCCTCAGTCACGTCGAAAACCAACAAGTCTGGTGCAATCGCTAGACACTTTTGTTGGTGGGCCAGTGGCGCAATGGATAATGTGTCTGATTACGAATCAGAAGATTCTAGGTTCGACTCCTGGCTGACTTGCTCTGTGATTACTTTTCACAGGCTGTTTTTGTTGTTGTTGTTTTGTTTTTTTCCGAAAAGTCCAGAAGAAAAGACAAAGTAAATAGATCATAGATGGAAATAATCCGCAACTTATCCGATTAAAAACTGTTCCTTCCTCCGTTTCAAAACTGGTGTTATATTGAAGTGACACCACGTCCTTAGGGAATTTGGCTCTTATAAATCTTGTTCCATCTGCCACCATTGTCCCTGGGTAATACCTCCTTCTCAACGGCAGTATCGGTGTAACTCCCCAGCTTTGCAGTTTTTGTAGTACATCCTTGTCATTGATATAATTAGGCAAACGTAAAAAAGTAACCACCCTCTCCATTTCACAAAGTTTGCTCACTTTACCCATTTGTCCATTTAATAGTAGTCCATTCAATAAATTGTCACAGTCCATTTCATTCTCCATTGTAAGTTCATACTCAAAGTAATTTTTTTCCCTTAGTCCATATAGTTGACCTTTTCCAGTATTGTCCTCAATAGCTTTGATTATCATCATAGCAGTTAGCTTTTCCGGATTTTCCACAGTCATTGTCAATGTTGTTTCTTTCTTGTATTCTCTTTGATATCTCATTTTGTCTTTTAATCTATTTATCATTTCATTTCTCTGACTTTCCTCTTGTCTCTTTTCACCGTTTGTATCAGCCTTTTCTTGACTGTATGACATTCGTAATAAGCCATTGTCCTATTTGTATCAATTAATTAGTGATTAATTAAATGATTCGTAATATTTCAGTTAGAGTTTTTGGTTAGAGATGCCTGCTCCAGTCGGGGATCGAACCGGCAACCTTTGGATCCACAGCGCCCCATGCAATATTACAGCAAAGTGTTATCTATGGACATATTTCTCAAACTAATAATGTAATATATGTGTCCTATAGCTTCTGACGGGCAGCAGAATCAATATTAACTCTCATTTCCTTTCAATTTCTACTCATTTTTCCAAACCTGGGCCGCAGCGGTGAGCGCACCAAAGCCTAACCACTAGACCACCAGGGAATGGCTAGAGGGCTGCACTCTTGATAACAGCGTGAGAATAAGCAGACAGCAATTCTGGCCTCAGTCACGTCGAAAACCAACAAGTCTGGTGCAATCGCTAGACACTTTTGTTGGTGGGCCAGTGGCGCAATGGATAATGTGTCTGATTACGAATCAGAAGATTCTAGGTTCGACTCCTGGCTGACTTGCTCTGTGATTACTTTTCACAGGCTGTTTTTGTTGTTGTTGTTTTGTTTTTTTCCGAAAAGTCCAGAAGAAAAGACAAAGTAAATAGATCATAGATGGAAATAATCCGCAACTTATCCGATTAAAAACTGTTCCTTCCTCCGTTTCAAAACTGGTGTTATATTGAAGTGACACCACGTCCTTAGGGAATTTGGCTCTTATAAATCTTGTTCCATCTGCCACCGTTGTCCCCGGGTAATACCTCCTTCTCAACGGCAGTATCGGTGTAACTCCCCAGCTTTGCAGTTTTTGTAGTACATCCTCGTCATTGATATAATTAGGCAAACGTAAAAAAGAAACCACCCTCTCCGTTGCGCAAAGTTTGCTCACTTTACACATTTGTCCATTCAATAAATTGTCACAGTCCATTTCATTCTCCATTGTAAGTTCATACTCAAAGTCATTTTTTTTTCTTAGTCCGTATAGTTTACCTTTTCCAGTGCTGTCCTCAATAGCTTTGATTATCATCATAACAGTTAGCTTTTCCGGATTTTCCACAGTCATTGTCAATGTTGTTTCTTTCTTGTATTCTCTTTGATATCTCATTTTGTCTTTTAATCTATTTATCATTTCATTTCTCTGACTTTCCTCTTGTCTCTTTTCACCGTTTGTATCAGCCTTTTCTTTACCTTGTGTAGTTGGTTGCTGTTCAGTCCGTCCTTTCTCCATTTCAGCTCCATTTCTCTTCCTTCTCGATACCACAGTTGCCCATGTTTCATTGTCATCCTTTCCATTGTCTTTCATAATCCTTCTTTTCAAAGTAATGTCTCCTTCAAAATCATTGTTCTTTTCCTCAAAATCCTTGTCCAGATCTGGTCCATTAGCCAATTTTTCTATTCTTGTTAATTAGTTTGGCAACCAAAAAACAAAAACAAAAGTAGCTCAACCCCAAACAGTTTTAAAACTGCCTGGGGTTAAACAAACCTAATCAAAAATAAAATACTGCAAACTTTATAACATGAAATTAAACAAACAAATACAAAACAAATGCAAAAAAAATGGGGGAGAGCCTTTCTCTCCAACTGCAGCTCAGCACTTCCTTTCCGGCCCTCTAGCGCCCTCTAGACAGACTCAAACATGTGC